CTAAACATAACTTTTTATTACAAACTTTATAAATTTTAGCAATTTTTTAAAAGCGTCTCACAACTGGCGACTTTTTTTTCAAAAAAGCGATGTGCTCGGAAAATGTATCGTAACATTTTTTGAGTTCATCGAAACACTACACTTTCTTTTAATAAAAGTTGCGTATTTCTGTTACCTTTCGAACGGTGTATTTTATTTACAATTTCGTTTACCCGTTTACAATTTACGGGTCAAAAATAAAACCCGTCTCACAACTGGAGACTCTCCCCTACATTTTAATAAATTAGATTTTTACAAATATTCACAATATTCCAGTAGAACTAAAATAATATTTTTCCTAAATTTCTCGGTAGCTAGACGAGTATGTTGATATATTTTATCAAGTTTAAATTTGACACGTTGTACTACATTACAATGAAAGATTAAAAATGCAAAAAGTCACCCTTAAAATTTTAAGTGTACAAAATAGTGAGTATAAAAAGAAAAAATTGTTAACAGTTAAAAAAAGGTGCATTATTATTATTATAAACAATTATAAATATTTATCAAAAAGTTTAAAAATTATTATTTGACACTAGGTGTCTGCTTTTGAGCACATACTGCATGTCTCGGCTTAATTTACTCAGTTAAACAGTTAGTATAAGTATATAAGTAGTAGACGGAGAGCTGGCTACATAAAAATGCATGTTATAAGATACATGAAAAATTAATATTTATATAGGTTCCATTTGAGTCCCTGAGTACCGAATGCGAAGTCTGCCTGCGCGTTCTGGACGATTAAGCCCGCGGATTGACGGTCGAAAATGATAAATTTGATAAGGAAAACATATGATAAAGGTCATGGATAAAAGTTATAAAATTTAAAAGTATTTATCACCAGTAAGCTTATAAAATTTTGGCAGACAATTTTTTGGACGACAAGGTATTGGCAGACAGTGTCAAAGTTGCGTAATCCGTAGTGAAAAAATGATCATAAGAGTCATGGCTAAAAATTAATGGAAATAGTTAATGAACTCTTATGGAAGCTATATGTCAATTGGCAGACAAAAATTCGGATGATAACATCGGGGCAAACAACGATAAAAAGCGCGGTTCTCATGCGATTTCGCTGATTTCGCGCTATTGCACTAAATAGTTAATTTTTGAAAAATGTGAAATTTTTTTGGGCTACATTAATTTTTAAACATAATTTAATGATTTTATAAACTTTTGAATGAATATAATTTATTTTAAATTAAATTTTTTATAAAAATAAAAAAAATAAAAATTGAAAATGTGATTTTTGTACAGAATTATTGATTTTTTTAATAACTAGATAATAGATTGAAACTTCTGAGAAAAATGTATCCCAATTTAAAAAAAGAAAGAGCAAAATCGGTCAGTTGGTTTAAAAGTTAATTAATTAATTAATTAATTCTGGCGTGAGCGATTGCTGCCGCGTGTCGCTGGATTCCCCCACTCCGCCCACCTAAGGAAGGTAAAATCTCGCACACACTTTTACCTCTATTTTAAACAACTAAATAGTGCAGTACTTTTAAACTGACAGAAAGTATTGCCCTTGATACCTTTAAAGAGATTTTACCTTCCTTAGGTGGGCGGAGTGGGGGAATCCAGCGACACGCGGCAGCAATCGCTCACGCCAGAATTGATACCAACTTTTCAAATTCTGAAAAGTTGCTCTAACTTTTAAACCAACTGACCGATTTTGCTCTTTCATTTTTTAAATTGGGATACATTTTTCTCAGAAGTTTCAATCTATTATCTAGTTATTAAAAAAGTCAATAATTCTATACAAAAATCACATTTTCAATTTTTATTTTTTTTATTTTTATAAAAAATTTAATTTAAAATAAATTATATTCATTCAAAAGTTTATAAAAACATTAAATTATGTTTAAAAATTAATGTAGCCCAAAAAAATTTCACATTTTTAAAAAATTAACTATTTAGTGCAAATAGCGCGAAATCAGCGAAATCGCATGGGAACCGCGCTTTTTATCGTTGTCTGCCTCGATGTTATCATCCGAATTTTTGTCTGCCAATTGACATATAGCTTCCATAAGAGTTCATTAACTTTTTCCATTAATTTTTAGCCATGACTCTTATGATCATTTTTTCACTACGGATTACGCAACTTTAGTTTCTTATCACCTAATTTGGTTTTTAGTGTTCAAAGATGGTTCGAAATTGTAAAAGAGTGTTGGTACCGACAAGTCGCACAAAACGACTAGTGATTCCATCATCGACCTCTACTATGATACCAGCAACGTTTAAAACACACATTCGCTCTTTTAGTTTTGTTTTTACATTTGTTTTATATTCTGTGTTTGCTTTCGAGCAATAAAAAATAACTTCTTTAATAAAAAATACGATTTCTAATGGTTTTTACCACCTTGTTCCTAATAGCCCCATTTTATAATTTCGAAAAAAAGCGTCTTTTTCTTTTTTTGTTTAAAATTCCAGCTTTGACCAAGGCAATTATTTAACCCTTCAATGTGCTCCCCAAGATCAAGAAAAGAAACAAAAACTTAGGCAATATTTCACTACACAAAAAAGTTGCAAGACTTTAAAGTTGAAATCTGTTCCTAATAGCCCCAGTTTACGGTACTGTGAATAGTACTTAACATTCAACTTATATGTTATATACACTGAGAGACCTTTGGGACTGTAGCGGAACAACGTATGTGACAGCAGCTCCACTATGGTTTTGGTGCGCTGCGGTAAAATCTTGGGCGCGTGACAGTCCCAAATGTTGGTGAGCAGCTCACCGAAGTAGTGGGAATGCCGCCTTTGGTTTGCAGCTGAACAACTTTGGGACTGTCACGCGCCCAAGATTTTACCGCAGCAACCCAAAAGTATAGTCCTGTAGCGTTCCTCCAAAATGGTCAGTAGCAGCCTATCGAAAGTCTGCTGCTGACCCAAAGGTCTCTCAGTGTATGTATTAAAGAACTTTCGTTTAGTTTCATGAATTCAACATAGAATCAGAGGCGATCAAATGTTTTTAGAAGTGTCAGAAAAAAAACGTTTTTTGGATTTTTAAGTTTTTCGATCATTATTTCTGAGTCTTAATTTATTTGGCAAATTTTTTTTGTTGCTATTGGATGTCCTTCTTCGAAGTACATACCCAGGTGCGATTTTTTGGTCGGCCCATAGTTGGGCCAACTTTTACAAAGTCGGTCCAACTTCTCGTGCCAGAGGTTGGGCCAACCATACAGATGATAACGGCGACCGTCTAATGGCGACGATGGTTGGCCCGACAACTCATAAGGAAGTTGGCCCAACTTACAATGCATATGTTGTGCCAACTATACATTTCAATGGTTGGTCCAAAGACTGAGGCCAAAGTTGGCACAACTTTAGATGCGTAAGTTGGGCCAACCACAATTTTCAAAGTTTGGCCAACTTCAACAGCCAAAGGTAAAAAATTATTAAAAAACTAAATTATTTAAACAATTAACAGGTTATTATTAGCGGGAACATCAGATATAACCTTTACCTATTATTATTAAACACAATCTCATACATACATTTTCGAAAATATCTAATGCTCGCTGGGATCGAACCCCTAACCTAACGCACCGATGACTTATACACTGACCACTACGCTACGCTCACATGGGAGTGCATAACGCAAAATGTATATTAAAGCTGCAACAGTCGGGCCAACCGTGGCCCAGAGTTTGGCCGACCAAGAAAGTTTAAGTCAATGAAACTGCGTTTCTAGAGTTTTGCCAACCGTTGGGCCAACCGTGGCCCAGAGTTCGGCCGACCAAAAAACTATAAGTCAATTATACTGCTTTTCTTGAGTTTTGCCAACCGTCGGGCCAACCGAAACTGAAAGTCTTTTAAACTACGTTTTGATGAGTTGTGCCAACCTTTGTCGACAAAGTTGGCCCGACGGTTGGTTAAACTCTGCATTTAATGGTTGGCTTGCAAAGTCGGGCCAACTGTGGGCACAAGTACTTGCCAAAGTTGGGCAAACTCTGGCAACCAAAACTTTGCTTGCCAAAGTTAGGCCAACCTTGGGCCAACCTTCAAACTCTGGCGGCCAACCTAAATTCGCACCTGGGTATATAGTTTTGTCTTATTTCAAAAAGATTTAATTAAATTTATTCTGAAATGTGAGGAATACACTCGGGGTAAAGCCGCTCACTTAGTTTAAAATTTAAAATAAAATAATTTTACGTATTATATTTTAACAATAACAAAATTTATGACTTGTTAAAACCAAAATTGTAACTACATTTCACTTTCTCTTAATAAAATATAACATTATTTAAATGCATAGTTGTAATTCATGCAACCTATATTCATTATTTATGAAACCAATTTGTTGTTTATAGAATTGTTTATATAACTCATAAATTATCAATAATAAATCATACTTAAGACGGGAATAAGACGAACTTTAATATTTAAAAAATAAAACTGTTCCGTCTTGAAAAGATAAAGTGAGCGGGTTTACCCTGGAAAATTGTGATTTCGAAATTTGGTATATGTTTATTAAAAAGTTTCTCTAAGTAAAACTAAAAAAGATAAATCAAAAACTCTTTTTTATTTTTTTAGTAGAAATCATAAGCTTTCAAATGATATAAATTAACTTAGATTTAGAGAATAATTTCCTAGATTTTTACCGATCTGAAAAAAAGTGTGCGGGTTTACCCCAGTCTCCCCTATAAGAGCTATTTATTAAAAGTTACAGTAATCACAGACTAATCAGTAATGTCAAGTCCATGCACACAACATTTTAGGAAAATATTCTCTGATAGTTGTAGTATAAATTGATACTACTTTTAAAAAATCGATTTTTTTTTGACCTGATAAAGTATAGGCGCCCCCCTTAAGTCGCAAAGTTCACAAAAATTCAGAAATCATGTACTTTCAACTTAATATTTCTTGTATATTTAACGTAAAAATGAAAATTATAATATATTGCGAAAGTTTATGTTTGATTTCTTTATAAATTACATTAATTTTCCTAATGAGAAAAACATTTTCAGATTTACGACGGTTAAATACTATGTCTGTAAAAGCTGTCAGTACTGGAATTATTATCATTGGAGGTGGTGTTGTGAAACATCATATTTGTAACGCAAATCTAATGGTAAATACATTTTTTTTAATTTGACTATACTTTTAAGTATATAGTAACAATAACATTCTTATTAGGAATTCAATTATTTTGATAATTAATAAAACTCATTGCAGAATTTCAATTATTTTGAATACAATTTTAATCGAATTCCTCAAAAAAATGTATTTATTCTTATAAATTTTATTAAAATTCGTCAAAACAATTCAATTATTTAAAAAATTATTAATAAAATTCTTTATGAGAATTTAATTTTAAGAAACATTCAATTATTCAATAAATTATTTATTTTTGTATTTAAATAATTTAATTCTAGTAGAATTTTCTCATAAAAATTTATTTAAAATTGGCTTTCAGTTAAAATTTTAGATTATAATTGAATATTAAAAGCATTAGAGCGTAATTTTTTTAGACATAATTGAATTTTGAAAAGGTTTCAGATTAAAATCTTTGAAAATTTGAATTTTTCATATTTTTAATTAACAATTCTGTGGAATTATTTTTTTTTCTTTTGAGAAAGTTTAATTGCGGATTTTTTTATATTATCGATTTTAAGAAGAATTTAAGTTAAAAATTCTTGAAAATAATAATTGAATTGATAATGATTTTATCACTCGGTGATCTTTAATTATTATAAAACATGAAGAAATCGATAGACTTTTTCATTTAAGGAATCTGTACAGCGCAAGCGCGAAATATATGAGCGATTCCATGTCAAGTGATCAAGGTGGAAAAAATTTTTTCTCCATTCGTGCCTAAACTTGGGGCTTTTGTAGTACTAGTGGGTAGTAAAAGTTTAGGGTTTTTCGGTACAATGCTTATTTTGATAATTTTTTACTCTTAAACAATTAAACCAAACAATAGTGAAAAGTATAATTAAAAAATATTACTAATGAATGTAGCAAAAAAAATTAGCGTGTATTAAAAATGAGCAGTATCCCTGAGAAAAATAATCCACAAAGGAAAAAAATTAATGCACAAAAGAAATGTTTTGGGATTTGCAAAAGTGATACTCGTTGCAAGTCTTATTTGACTGAAAATTATTACTTTATTTCTTTCCCAAAACCGTTTAACATTTACAAAATGAAATATTAGGAATGACAATATTCGAAGTAATTGCAAAACTTGTCAAGTATGTCGAAAATGAGACCTATTGGTAAGGTTATGTTCATAACATAACACAACCTTATTTACATGTAAACAATATAGACTTTTTTACCCTTGAAACACTTTATAACCATATTTTTAATTGACAGACAGTATTTTTCTCTACCTGTTCAAACTTTAATTTTGCATCTGGAATGTCATTTTCATCGAGTTTTTTATATGAATTGTTATAAGCACAATATACATTCTGATACAAAGTTGCTCGAAAATTTTGAAATCGCGCCGTCTGTCATGGCGTAGCTTCAACTTCTGGTCTTAAATGAAAAGGTTTATTACTCCGAGTCGAAGACTCTGAGTTATCGGTATTTTCATGTTTTATAGTTATGGAAAATTTAATTTATAGTTTTAAGGGGGTCACCCCGTGTGATGGGTTCAAAAAATCGAAAAAAATTTTTTTTCATAAATCACATCTACAATATGTGTAGAATATGTGGGTAAACAGAATTTTTTATTTTTGACATCCTAAGAAAGTTACAGCACTAAGAAGACAAGGCGTTTTTCTCAAAACTGTGTTTTTCAAACTGGCGTCCATGATATCTCGAAAACGGCTTGACCAATATCGCACAAATTTATAGGGCGTGTTCAGCACATATGTGGCTGTCGCCCGAACTAGGATTAAGATGCCTTTTGATTTTTCGATTTTAGTTTAGTCAATTAGTCAGTATCGTGGACGCCGATAGACGGCGTTTTTATGATCATAATCACTTTCCAGTTTTATAATTCGGAATCAGTAAAATGTTTTTACTTGCAAAAATTTTAATTTGTTGTTAAAATGGAACTGAATATATGGTAAAAATTTTGAAGTCCTAAGTTTTCATGGTTCTTAAAAAGAAAATCGCTAAAAAACTCTTAAAAAACGTCTGCCACACGGGGTGACCCCCTTAAGTAAAATGTTCTCTTATTTGACTCGGACTGGTTATATTTTTGTCAGCAATTGGTCCGTAAAGTCCGTATTTTTAAATACTTTCACTGGTTCGAGCCCTGATAGAGCGAGCTTTTAACTTTATAATTGCGATATAACTTCCATGGTATATTATACATAGTCAGAATATAAAGTATAAAAATACAATATATAATTCCATATCAGACAATTTTTACAAAATTGTATGTGATTCTTTCTTTCTATTCTGACAATGTATTAACATATATTTTACTAACAGATGTTTTTAGAGGAATGGGGCTGATTATTCTGTTTTTATCAATACATCTTCTGAATTCGATGGCAGTGACAGTGGTGCTCGTCCTGATGAAGCAATATCATGGGGGAAAATTCGCAAAGAAGCTTCTCCAGTAAAAGTAATTATTTTCTTAAAGTTAAGTAAAATTTTTTTTATATTTTTATTTAAAAAAATAACTAATTTTATTTTTAATTTTAGATATACGCTGAAGCAACCTTAGTTTTTCCTCTTCTTGTGGGTGAGACTTTCGCTAAACATTATCACTCTTCTAAAGTGAAAACCGTGTCAGATGTTTAAAATAATTTTAATTATTTTTTATAACTATTTTTTAATTGTAATATAAGTTTTTTATTAAATATATGATATTAAAATGGTATTCAAATATGTTTTTTCTACTTTTGTACATTTTATGAAATTTACATAAGATAAATAAATAAAATATAGAGGAAAAATTTTTAGAGCTTCAGTTAAAAATATTCAATTGCTATAAATTAAATATTTATATTATATAATTATTATAGAAATTATTTTAATTAGAAGAAAATTACAAATTAATATGAGGTTGAGAAATTATTTTTAAAAAATTAACCAAATAGTCATTTTAATATTTTTATTCCAAATTAACACATTATTAACTCTTTTAATGTTCGCACGTTTAACAATCTTTAATAAACTTGTAACTTATTGTAAAAAAATTAATATAAAAGTAACTATTACAATTTTTGTCCAACACACTTTTTATGTTTCTCTATTCAAACAATTAACAAAACTTGATTTTTCCCTTTTCATCGTTTTTCTTCAGTGCCCTAAATACAATAGTTACTTTTTACCATATTTTTTATTGCAAAAATATGGAGATTAATTCATTATAAAATAAATCACAAAATTGAGTAAATTTACATTTTAAAAAATAGCAATGAAAAATTGATAAAAATGAAGAAAAATTATCACTTTAAAACTAATTAATTATAATATATTTTATAAAATGTTATATAATAAAAAATAGTTTAATTTTTTTAATTTATACTGATTTAAAAATATTTTTAAAATTAGTGACAATTTTGATCGAATAATAATCTTAGATTTAAAAAAAATGCTTCTTGAAATATCGACGTATCAATACATTACATCGACGTCCTGCTGCTTTTGATGTTGCATTTCCACTAATTATTCATTCACAAATAGTACAATATTTTTTTTATAAAATAACATCTGTCGAAACAAATTTTATAGATCATTTAACAAAAAGAAAGAAGTAATTAAAAATAAACTGTAGCTTTTTTAATAATTACACAAGCCTGCAAAAAAATAAAAATTTCCGTTGTCTGAGATCGAGAAGTCATTTCCCGAAGTATTTGGTGCGCTGAATCCGAATCTGGCAACGAAAACCTCCCACCACGTCAGGATTTTGAGAAAAGTGGAGGTAAATTCCCAAAAAACATGTTTTTCGCTGTTTTTGTAAATTTCTATCGGGTAAATCTGACGTGCTAGAGACTTGTCATAGGAGTCAAATTAAAGCCTGAACCCTGTACTTTAAGAAAATAAAGCGATATTGCTAACAACACACTAAATTAGCCATGAAAAATGATTTTTTTTTACAGTTGTCAAGTATAAAAATTGACTAACACTGTCCGTAAATAAAACTATTTGAAAAATGATGGAATTCGCTTAAAATTTGTTACTCAGGGGGTTTTGGGGTCGCTGATTACTAATATGTTGTCAGATTATTAGAATTCAAAATGTCGGATACAATATGGCGGACTTATTTTTCAGAATTGATCAAATTCACTTGAAACTTGTTACTCGGGGGTTTTTGGGGTCGTTGATTATGAATCCAACTACAGATTTTTTATTTTGACATCATATTTGTAAGCAACGACCCCGAAAACCCCAAATCAATAAATTCTAAGCGAATCCAATCATTTTTTAAAATAGTTGTATTTACGGACTGTGTCAGTCAATTTTTATGATTGCCAACTGTTAAAAAAACCATTTTTGACGGCTAATTTAGTTTGTTGTCAGCAATATCGCTTTATTTTCTTAAAGTACAGGGTTCAGGCTTTAATTTGACTCCTATGACAAGTCTCTAGCACGTCGGATTTACCCGATAGAAATTTACAAAAACAGTGAAAAACATGATTTTTGGGAATTTACTCCCACTTTTCTCAAAATCCTGACGTGATGGGAGGTTTTCGTTGCCAGATTCGGATTCAGCGCACCAAATACTGCGGGAAATGACTTCTCGATCTCAGACAATGGAAATTTTTATTTTTTTGCAGGCTTGTGTTATTTTTAAAATAATTTAGTTGTTTAATTTAAACAAAAATATTTAAACCTTTTTCATGAATATTTCGTCATTTTGGATCACAAACTTCCTGCAAATTATTGTACTATCTGGGATTATTTACAAGCATTTTGACAGATATATAGAATTTTAAAATGTATCCTTTTTTAAATATTATGCAAGATTGACGGCAGGATGTTTATTTTTCATTGTACGATTTATACTTTTTTTTATTATTATATTAAATCGAATGAGAAATGAAGACTAGAAATTTAGAATAAGTCGATCATAAATTATTCATTTTTTTATACACAACTCTGTGCATATGAACTAATTGAGTGATTTTATTTGAAAATTGTTTATACATGGAGGTTTTTTTTAATTTCTCACTTTATAATACTCAACTGTTATAAATTGTACATTTTATATTTTTCAAGAACTTAGGATATTAAACCAATCATTTAAATTCAATGCAGATTATTTGTCTTATATAATTATATAATTACACAGGCCTACAAAATTTAGAATTTTGTCAGACCCACAAACGGGATAAGTCATTTCCGATGTAATTTGTCACCCTGAATCCAAAACTGGCAGCGAAATTGCTCTATCACGTCAGGATTCTGAGATATTCTAACCTAAAAGAGTAAAAAAGGCCATTTTTGGCAACATTCGACTCTCAATAAAATCCACAACAAATTTTTTTTATCATTCGAACAAATTTTAAAGGAAAGTACAATTATTCACCTTTCAAAATATTCTACACCCGATCCGATCCGACTTTTTTTCACTAAGGTACAACAATTTAAAGTTTAGGTTACACGACCTAAAAACTGAAAAAACGAAGAAAAGAATAATTGGAAAGGACTTTAACTTAAGCATCTGATTCTTAATATTTTGGGATCGTTGATTAGAAAACCGATGTCGGATTTTCAAAATTCAAAATGGCGGATCCAATATGGCGGCTGTCAAAATAAAAAATTGATCGGATTCGCTTGAAACTTTTTACTCGGGGGTTTTTGAGGTCCCTAATTACGAATCTGATGTCAGATTTTCGAAATTCAAAATGGCGGATGTAATATGGCGACATATTTTTAAAAAATTTAACGGAGTCGCTTGAAACTCCTTACTCGGGTGTTTTCGAGGTCGCTTATTAAGAATCTAGTGTCACATTTTCGAAATTTAAAATTACTGTGGATCTAATATGGTATTATATGTTAGTAAAATCGAAGAACGTAAAATTCGAACATTTAGGGCATAATTTATACACTCTTTTAGTAAAGAAAATTTAAAGTTTTATTTTTCTTTATGAACCTTTACACATTTTTCTTCAAAAGATTTTCGTATAGTTGGTTTCGTTTTTAGAATATAATACAGAATCACTTCTTTGCTTATATCTAGACCTGTAAATACATCTTTTCTCAATTTAGATATCTATGGGTGTGGAAATCTTTTTTTCAAGTACGCCAAAGACTTCGAATTTCACGTTTTTCGATTTTACTAACATATAATACCATATTAGATCCACAATTATTTTAAATTTCGAAAATGTGACACCAGATTCTTAATAAGCGACCTCAAAAACACCCGAGTGAAGAGTTTCAAGCGAATCCGTTAAATTTTTTAAAAATATGTCGCCATATTACATCCGCCATTTTGAATTTCGAAAATGTGACATCAGATTCGTAATTAGCGACCTTAAAAACCCCCGAGTAAAAAGTTTCAAGCGAATCCGATCAATTTTTTATTTTGACAGCCGCCATATTGGATCCGCCATTTTGAATTTTGAAAATCCGACATCGGTTTTCTAATCAACGATCCCAAAATATTAAGAATCAGATGCTTAAGTTAAAGTCCTTTCCAATTATTCTTTTCTTCGTTTTTTCAGTTTTTAGGTCGTGTAACCTAAACTTTAAATTGTTGTATCTTAGTGAAAAAAAGTCGGATCGGATCGGGTGTAAAATATTTTGAAAGGTGAATAATTATACTTTCCTTTAAAATTTGTTCGAATGATAAAAAAAAATTTTTGTAGATTTTATTGAGAGTCGAATGTTGCCAAAAATGGCCTTTTTTACTCTTTTAGGTTAGAATATCTCAGAATCCTGACGTGATAGAGCAATTTCGCTGCCAGTTTTGGATTCAGGATGACAAATTACATCGGAAATGACCGCTTCTGGGTCTGAAATTTGTAGGCCTGTGTTATTTTACGCATTATTTTAATTATTTGTTTCAGTTCAAAAAATTTTCATCCACCATCTCAATACAAATTTACTTTCGATTTTAAATCTCAATTTATTGTAAATTTATTTTTCAGATCGAAAACTGATTTGAAATAAAAAAAAATTTTCCAAAATTGAACGTATATCTAAACTCTCTATTGGATAATAATGAATTTTTAAAGAATTTTTCGTTTGTCAAGAAAATTGATTAAATTGCACAATCCGGAAAGTTTTTTTTATTTGTACAATTTTTTTAAAATGTGGAATTTTTCTCTTAAATATATTTATCCGATATCAGAAAAACCTGTTTATTATTTTCTTTGATTGTAAGATTGTGTTTTAAAGAAAATGTTATTTCATTTACACGTTTATCTGGTTTTATTGTATTTAATAAACGAAATTTTTTGTATTCATTTTTATTAAATGAAAATTGATGCGGCTCAGCTTTAAAAGTATCGTTAAATGTGACGAAATTATTGTCGATAATTTTTTTCTCGGTGATTTTGAATCTTAAATAGCACAACATATTGAAATATGCACAATATTATTCATGTTTTTTGAAATATTGTGACAAATGTTATTCTATTTGTAATGTGATTTTTAAGTTTCATTCAAAAAGTCGAGAAAAATAATGACAATTAATTTTCATTTGTTGTAATTATTTTCTTATGAAAATATTTTATTTATCTTGACATATTACATTAAATATACACCAGAAAACTAAATTCCACTCTTTATTTTATTATAGAAAAATATTACTATTATTCACGTTTTATTTAATAAGCACTGTACTTTTTTTGCTTTTAAAATAACGTAAATTTTGGCACCTATAAATGATTTTTTTTTGTTTGTAGAAAAGGTGACAGATTAAAATATACTTTTTGGTTTTTCTTATTACAATACATACATTATGTATATAACACAAGTGTAACAACTTTTAAAAACTATATATAATATATTTAATTAAAACACTATCGTAATATTTTACGATAAATTGATAAAACGTGAGTCCATATATAAACAATTTCCACTAATAATTGATTTAAACGCATATTCCTAATGTATATTTACAACATTATTCTAGAGCAAAGTATTCGGAATCAGACGTGTTCAACACTATTTTTAATGAAGTAAAATTAACAATTGTACATATTTTATCGAAAATGATAAAATAAAAAAGTCATTAGTTTACGTTTTACGAATTAGAGAATATATTATTATTACTATTATTATTATATCATTATTATTATTGTTCCGGAATAACATTAATACTAAATGCAATATGAAAAGAAACTATTTCGACACGCACGTCTGAATCAGCACACTATGTGACAATTGATTTTTTTCTACTTAAATTCTTATCAAGGATATTTTTATTTTTCACTTTTTAATCAACTTTGACAGATTATAGTAATCACGGCACAATTTTCTAATCTCAATCATAGTAGATTTAATCACTTACGATAAAACGATATTTATATTCTTCTTCTTTTTTTTATTTTTAATATATTAGTTTGATATGATATGTTTATTCACAACTTGATGTGAGCGCTTATAGGTTATTTATTAAAGTGTAAAGTTTGTAAATAAAAGTCATGGCGAATATTTTGAATTCACATTTTTAGGGATATTCTCTTTTTTCAAAAGTAATTTTAAAAATTAACAGTTTTTGTCAACTTCTTCCCTAGCCGATTTATTTCATAAAAAGGCCCAGGACTATAAAAATATACCTAATATTTACAATTAAAACATTTTTTTTTTAATTTTAATTTTTTGATTTTTACTCTTTAAATCTGAATTAGTGCGGATTCGTTTACCAATTTGAATTAGTAACATTTTTTTACTAATTTTTAGTAGTTTTTTACTAATTGCTAGTAGAAAATTACTAATTCAATTAGTAGAACGTATTTTTTACTATTTCAAATTAGTAAATTTTCTACTAACAATTAGTAAAAAAAACTACTAAAAATTAGTAAAAACAGTTACTAATTCAATTGGTAAACGAATCCGCACTATTTCATTAGTAGAAAACTACTAATTCAGATTTAGAGAGTAAAAAATGTAAAACTTTTCTCTTTAATTACATTCTCATCACATGAATTAATTTAATTAATTTTTTTTTACTTTTAATGCTTTGAAGCATTAAAAAAGAAGAAAATTTTTTAAATAAACGATTAAATTTAATTCTATGAATATTTTAAAAAAGGAATTTATAATTTTATTTATTTATTTTATTTATAATTTATAATTTTATAAATATTTTTTTTATTTAAAATACTTGGGAAATTTGCAGTTATTTTAAACATTTAAAAAAACCTCAATTTCACAGAGGAAAACTATAAAGTAACTTTTATAATTTAAAAAGTAAAATCTTAACTGCCTAGAATTTGTGCACATTTCTATAGCAAATTTTACTATTTTTGAAGTAAATCTTAGTAAAAATTAGTAAAATTTAAATAAGAAACTATTACAAATTTTTCGCAATTTTAAACAATTTGGGTTTTATTCTAAAAGTTCATGTGACGAGCTCCAAAGAAATGTACCTAAGAAGCAAAAAATTTTAGGTTAGGTTTGTAATTTTTTGAAAAAAATACTCAATGTAGTATGTATTTATTCTCTAAATATAAATCACTGACATTTAAATCTTCTTTGTATCTAAAATATTTAATAAAAACTGATTTCAGTTTTATAGAATCAAACAGAAACTTTTAATTAAGGTGAAAATAATACAAACATAACCTTAAAATAATATGCTTCTTAGGTTTTTTTCGAGCAGGTGATGAGACTTACATATTTTTAGATGTCACCCTAAATGTTAATTCATAATTATCGCCAAATATATTGTTAAATAAAATATCTTAATGTGTATTATAAACTGACGTAAAGCATTGTAGAAGGAAAATGAAATGCAAAAGAAAAAATATGGTGCGTTTCAGTTTTTGGCATATATGTTTTTTATAGCTTTTAAAAAAATTGTTTAAATAATATTTACTTGAAAATAAAAATCATTTCTACAGACATCTAAAAAGTGATATCCGTGATATTTTCTATAGCAATATATAAAGAGTTCTTGTAAATAATTTTCAATTTAATAAATAAGAACGGAAAATATTTTATCGTTGATCAAATTTTTACATATGTTGTACGCTATCACACACATATTTTCAAAATGTTTCTAATAAATTGACGAAGTTTATGACCATCGGTACAATTGAAGTTCGCAGCACAGGAAGAATTATTTAGTAAAGTAGATTTCATCATTTACATCTAACAATATGATTTTTTAAGAATTCTTTTCCACAATAGCATTTATACAATTTTAATATTCAAAAGAAATTCTACATTTTTACCAAGAATTCTTATTACGAATGTCATTTTCTAAAAGATTTATTTATAGATGTAAATGAACATTATTTTTCGAGTGTCATTGAAACAAAAATAGTTTAATCAATTTTTAATTATATATAAATTTATTTATAAGTTATTGAAATTGAATTAGAAATGTAAAGAAAGATAAATTAGGTTTCTTTAATAAATATTTGATCAATTTAGTGGAAGAGGTTGAAATTGCAAATTTCAAAAAATTGTAAATTGAAATCTGTGGAAGCAATATTTTACATATTATTATTACTTAAACTTGGCAACAGTATTTTATTTATAATTTATGATAAAAGTAGGAATTCAGTGCAATATGTGCTGTGTATATTTTTTAATTTTGATGTAAAAATATTATGATACGTTTCATTATTTATAAAAACTCTTTCTAAAATATTTCTGAGAAAATTGGTATGTTTCTTCTCCTATATGAAGTAGAACTACTAATTTGATTAGAATCAAAATAAATATTAAAAAAACCACTTTATATTAGTGGCTGAAACTTATATTTATTCTCTTTAAAATATACGGACAAGTTTTTTGAAAACGGATTTTCAATCTTCATTAACTTAAAATTTCAAAATAAATACTCGGTATTTAAAGCAATGGATTGTTGATAATTGATAAAATTATATTTCCGCTCGTTAAAATTAATATTTTTTAATTTTTAGTGAAAACTTTTACCTTTAGCAGTGACACTTGAGAAATTATGTTCCTGATATTTAGTTACTTTGTTACTTTATGTAATAAAAATTACGTGATTACGTGATTAGAAACAGATCTGTGATTGTACCTATTGTGAAATTCAATTGAGATTTTCTTGCTTCTAAGAAAAATAGAATTACAATTTTACTTATTGCAAGCTTTATATATTTGGACTACACTTAAAATTTAATAAATAGACCTATTTACACAAAGTTGGTTTCAAGATGATAAAATAACAAATTTTAAATATTAATGTTTTATTTTTTCAACATTTTCTAATATATGTAAAGAATCTTAATTATTATGTAGATAACAGAAATATATTTTCACACTTATAGCTAACCACAATTTGTCATTTAAAATGTATCTTTTAAATAAGTGTAAATGTATCTTTTTCACTAAAAAAAATATGATAAATAAATTTATTCAATGAACATAAGGAAAAAATGTCAATTTCTTATTTAATTTTATAAATTTTTAGTCTTTTCTACCAACATTATGTATATAGTTGTCTTTTCATACTTATTTAAAATATCATTGAACATTAATGTTACGCAACTTTTATTAATTTTTTTTGCTATCAATAAATATATGCTGCATAGTATATTCCATGCTGTTTGTATGATTTATTAAACAATTTTGGCAAGATTCTCAAACTTCTCTTTTAGTACAATTCATTTCCTTCGACAAACTTTTTTTTGAGAAATTTCCATTCTCTTGAAAGTTAACATTTCTTATGAAATCTACATTTATTTTTTGTCCTGTTTTCGATGTAACGGAATTGTATGTATATTATTGCTTGAAATATGGTTTTTAAGAATTGAATAATGGAGTAGAAAATTACATTTTTTTGCTATACAGGTGCTATTGCACCAATCCGTTGGCAGCAAATCCTTCCAATAGTTGCGAAAATGTCTTTTGTTCCTTCACGTTGATGAGTAACTTGAAAATACTCATTTTGATGATAAAATTTCTTCGATACAATTCACTTTGTTCTTTATGATTTTAACTAGGACCTTATGCGATCCAAACTTCAAATTTTCTAAATACCTATAGAAAGTAAAAACAGAGTAAATATTAAAAATATTTCAAAAAATTTATTTATCTACTTAAAAAAATTGTTAAATAAATCGTGGTCCTTATGAGTATTTGTATATTTTCTTTCTTAATTCTTTTACTTTCCCTGTATCAAATTAAAAAATTTTAAAAAGAAAGAATTACTTACGCGATATCCATTTTCGCAAAACTTTCGTTTTGTAGAAATTGAACTAAACGTAATTAATGTCTTTTAAAGTATTTCCCTTCCACTTGCTATAACTTCTAGTGATTATCTTCGCATAACATTTTTCTTCATGCTGAGCAAATTTTATTGATGAAATCTAGAAGTAAAAAAATCAATAATTGCATTTTATTAACATTTACATTAAATAAAATACGATGAGAAATCAGTACTAAATAACGATAAGTATAATACCTGTTTATTGTAAATCTTCTTCACATTTAGGAATGTCAAAAACTTCAGCAAATAATGGTGGTAACTTGAGTTTTGTCCAATTTTTTTTAAACCAATCAAGAAGATTTGCATGTCGAATCCCAAGGGATCTGAGTTCCGGCATTATTTGCAAAATGCTAGGATTGCTGGTATTCATTCCATTTACAATGATTTCATTAGAAACTGAATTACTTCTTGTCACTAGAGTATTAAAGGCTTCGAGTAAACGATCCTGCGACCTTTGTACTGCTTTTAAATCATTTAATTCAGGTCTCTCACTAAGAAGAATAGCACCAGAAAGTAAACCTAATTCGTCATCCGTGAGCTTATGAGCATTTAATGATGTAGTAAACTGCAATACGTCTGACACGAAATCGGGCTGCTTTGGACAACGAAACAACAAATTATACTTTATTCTTAAATATTTATCCAGATATTTAATTTCATAAAATGTTGGTGAATTATAACTTACCTCGTATATCAATTCCAATTGCTGCTTAGTAAGATAAGTACCGTCCTCAAAAGTCATGGAAATGTTGGTGGTCATTTTCGATATTTGACTAAGCCATATTTCAAAGAAACCCAATTTTATTAAAATCAACTGATCCTGTTGTGAGAGATCAGAAAATCCAGGTACTTGCTTTGCAAACTCTACAACTTTTTGAACCGACGGCGTTACTTTATTTGCAAATTGTTGCCACAACCAGATTTTTTGAGATTCCACTGTTTCTGCCATAGATGACGCAACTTCAGGATCCTTTGGACTTGAAGGCTGTAATAAATAAATCAGGTATCATTCAAGTTATTAGAAAACTTTTTAAATTACACTACATGATTTGATATATCTTACTGGTATTATGATAGGCTTTTGAACTAAATCTCTTGTAGACTCTTCAGCGTATACACAATGAGCATGATAAGCTTGAGAGACTCGAAGAATAACTTCGTAAATAGCTAATTGCTTCTCATCGACGTCCGATTGATCAGCTTCAACTATAGTAGGAGGTGGTACACGTGAAACCGAATTCTGACACTGGATATTGTTATTGTTATTACTAGTACTACTGCTACTACTACTACTACTACTGCTATTATTGTTATTGCTACTGTTATTATCGTCATCATTATCATCATCATTATTGTTGTTGTTGTTGTTGTTTGAGTTATAATTAATGCTGGATGCTAGTTGATGTACACGGGAAGTCGTCGTAGTTGTAGTAGTAGTAGCTGTTGCTGTTGTTATCGTTGTTGATACTGCTCCCACATCATCAGTCGTTCGATCTCGAGATCTCTTCGGAACTCGACCGTATCTTACCGCTGAAACAAACGAAAACTAGATAAAGACGTTCAACCAAGCTTACAATTTTAATTAATGATTTTAAATTTCGTGAAATGTGCATTGAATTACTAAAATTTCGTATGGTTCCTAAAAGCTTCCTCATTGATTACACCAGAGAATTACTAATTTGTAGGAAAGCATATAAAAAGATAAAATTGAATAAGAATGTTAAAAATTCTATTTTTTATTCTATTGTACCCAAAATAAATAATTAATACTCACAGTCTCTCGACATGCCAACTGCTAGACATTTCTTGAATCTGCAATATTGACAGCGATTCCGATTTAGTCTTATAACTAAACATTTTCCGTCCCTTAAACATCTGTACTCTATCTGTTTTTGAATACTTCTTCTAAAAAAACCCTGAAAAATAAAATGATTTACTGAATTCGAATATCCGAAAATATTTTTCACTTAAGTATACCTATATTACGAAAATTTATCAATTTTGGTATTATTAAATGTTATTTGAAATTATAAGTTCAGCTATTTAATGGAAAAATTAAACACTGTCTCATGTTAAAGAAGACTGTCCTCTCTTTTGTGACATGACGTAGAGATTGACTCGGAGATTTATATATAATCCAAATCAATTATATTTAAATATTGGTGGATTCCACGTCAGTTTAATACACTTATTTTCATGACTTGTTGGGATTTGGCTGTACTTTTGTAAATTTATTACTTTTATAGTGATAAACAACTCCACCAAATATTTTTTCAAAATTTTGAAAATTACCAAAAATATGGCATTTTTAAAATTGAGCACCTGGATCGTAGAAGGGCACGTAAATTTTTCTCGGCCGAAATCGAAATCCCCTGGACACTCAAAATTCAACTTCTGAATTTAGACATTTTAAATATACATCTTTATAGAAAATTTTATTGCGCATATTTTTTTCTTATGAAATTTTTTTTTGTATCTATTACCGTTTTCGAAATATTTGAGAAAAATTGATTTTTTGAAAACTGCAAATTTAATGACATTTTTCACTTAAACTCGCGATATTTCAGATGATTTTGAATATTTTTCAATGTACCAAAAAAGAAAATACGTCTAAAGATATTCTACGAATGATAAAAAAGGAAAAAAATTATTTTCTTTATAAACAAAATTGTTATTAATTTTTTTCTTTATTAATGTAAAATTAATTTTAAGTAAAAAAGAACTTTCAGTGAGAAAGTTGTTCATTATGGACCAAAGAAGTTTTCTGGAAAATCACAGGGTTAATAATTAATTAGTGTTGAAATGGTGAATGTTTAAAGTTGATACCGTCCGAATGTGTAGCACGCGTTACTCGCCACAGGTGCTTCGGAGGCTTGGGAGTGTCGTTTCATAGGTTATGGCCATCGCGCGTGCCACACGTTCGGACGGTATCAACTTTAAACATTCACCATTTCAACACTAATAAATTATTAACCCTGTGATTTTCCAGAAAACTTCTTTGGTCCATAATGAACAACTTTCTCGCTGAAAGTTTTTTGTTACTTAAAATTCGCCCGTTAAACGAGAGCCGAGAAGATTGTATTTTGTTTTTTACATTAATAAAGAAAAAAATTAATAACAATTTTGTTTATAAAGAAAATAACTTTTTTCCTTTTTTATCATTAGTAGAAAATCTTTAGACGTATTTTCTTTTTTGGTACATTGAAAAATATTTAAAATCATCTGAATTATCGCGAGTTGAAGTGAAAAATGTCATTAAATTTGCAGTTTTCAAAAAATCAATATTTCTCAAATATTTCGAAAACGGTTATAGATACAAAAAAATTTCATAAGAAAAAACGCTGTGTCTATTTCGCCCGCAAACGGGCGAAATAAGAGTGATGAATTATTTCGCCCGCCATTAAAAATACGTAGGTGGGGGACAACTGGCGAAATAAGAGAGATGAATTATTTCGCCCGTCATGAAAAATTAGTAAGTAGGGGGAAACGGGCGAAATAAAAATAGTAAATTATTTCGCCCATCATGAAAAATAAGTAAAAATATGTAAAACGGGCGAAGTAGCAATGACACCAATGACACATTGCTTCGCCCGTTTTTGGTTTTTTAATTAATTTTAATGGGAAAAAGGTTAGCTTGTCACTTGTATATTTTTGTGAAGATTGAATTAAAAACTTAAAAAGTTGTGAATTTTTATAATAATTCACAAAGTTTCTTTATTTATCAATATTTTTGGTGCTCATTAGTAATTTTCTACATAATATTTTATAAAATAAACTAGATTATGTATTTTAATATATTTTCTACCTATCTATGTAGACTAAAAACATTAATTTTTAGAAAATTCTTATTATTTTTGTTCAAATCAGTTCAAAAGTATATTAACTCAGATTTGGAAAATAAGTTTTATGATACTATTTTCGAAAGAAAAATTTAGAAATAATTTTATTTTTTTTTATTTTGATTTACAAAAACATTTTTTTTAAAGAAAGTGTGAAAGTGTGAAACTCATTTTAAAACTTAAATAAAGAAACTGTACTTTTTTTAAAAATGAGCTACACATAATTATTTGAATTTGGTGTGAAGGTTACTAACCTGACTTGAACACACTTCTTTTCATTTCTGCCATTCACCTTAAAAATTTAAAATTTTTTCAAAGGTATTATAGGAATAACTATATAACGGGCGAAATAATTCATTGCTCTTATTTCGCCCGTTGTCCCCCACCTACGTATTTTTAGTGACGGGCGAAATAATTCATCACTCTTATTTCGCCCGTTTGCGGGCGAAATAGACACAGCGAAGAAAAAAAGATGCGCAATGAAATTTTCTATAAGGATGTGTATTTAAAATATTAAAATTCAGAAATTGAATTTTAAGTGTCTAGGGGACTTCGATTTCGGCCGAGAAAAATTTACGTGCACTTCTACAATCCAGGTGCTCAATTATTGTCTTTTTTTAAAGTGCTATAACATGGCTATAACTTTGGTTCCAATTAACCGATTTTGGATTTTAAAAAAAGGATTTCTTTGGTTTTAAGTATATTTTAAGTTAAAATTAATATAAAATTAAAAAATTCAAAAAAATTTTTTTTTTTGAAATTTTGAAAAATTAAAAATCCGTTTTTGAAAAAACATCATTTTCGATTTTTTTCAAAATTTTACTAAATGTTAGGGCAAATGTGCTTTACATGTCCTGTAAATTTCATCTTGGGATCTCAAAGGGGGAGTAAAAAAATAAAACGTAACCACATATTACGAATATATGGGGCAAAATTCCTCAACTGCCCAGGTAAAAAAGTGGGCAAGTTCTCATATGAAAAAAGGTAAGCTTTCGATTGGGATAGGTTACAAAAAAATAAAAAACACCGATTTTGAACTTGGTTAATACGATTCTGTAGGGACCACACTAAGAATGCGTCTTATGCGGGAAAACATATTAGGTGGGATATAAAATGTATGTCTTTAATTGCAGGGACCACCATAAATGAGCGTCTTAAGCGGGAAATCGTATTAAACGGGATCATATTAACCGGGTTCTACTGTATATTGAAATTAAGAATTTGACCTTGAATTTCAAGGAGAAATTGACAGAAAACAACTTTTTTTCATCATCAGCTTATAGCCCGTGAAAACCCCTTTAAAAATCACTATTCATACTTTAAATTTGATTAATTTTACTTATCAATATATTAAATCGAAAAAAAGATATTTTCAAAAAAATCAAAATTTTGAAACTCTATAACTCAAAAAATATTTTATCAAATTCAAAAAAAATTAATATTTACACTTCTACTAATAATAGTAACATTTTAGCAAAGTTTAGAGAAAATTAACTTTTTTACCTAGGCGGTTGAGGAATATTGCCCCCTATGTTCGTAATTTGTGGTTACGTTTTATTTTTTTACTCCGAATCCCTTTGAGATCCCAAGATGAAACTTACAGGACATGTAAAGCACATTTGCCCTAACATTTAGTAAAATTTTGAAAAAAATCATAGATGATGTTTTTTCAAAAAAAAAAAAATTTTTTGAATTTTTTTTTATATTAAGGTATTAGTCGCGTAAAATGTTTTTCGTCAGATTTTTTTCAAATTTTGCATACTTATTCCTGAAGTATTTATCTACAGAATGAGACCAATTTCATTAATTTTGACCGTTTCAAAGCTTCAAAAAATGAATTCAAAGTTCATACATTTTGCATGGAGGGAGCACCCAATGCATGTAATGATTTTGTTTAATAATTATTTATATGATAACTAATCGTTAGATTTTGAAATAAAACTACCAAAATATTCAATTAGATAAAACAAATGAATAAAAAAAACATGACATTTTTTGACCGCACCAAACTATAAATATATTGACAGAAAGTTAAAAAAATAACTAAATTATATGAATTTTCATACGAATGAATAGAGTGGGGAGTTAAACTGTCTCTCTCACTCTCACTGCCCCACTCTAGTAAGCGGCCAGGTAAATTTTTAGCCAGAGCCAGCTGCGCGACCAATACCTTAATTTTAACTTAAAATATACTTAAAACCAAAGAAATCCTTTTTTTAAAATCCAAAATCGGTTAATTGGAACCAAAGTTATAGCACTTTAAAAAAAAGACAATAATTTTAAAAATGCCATATTTTTTGTAATTTTCAAAATTTTGAAAAAATATTTGGTGGAGTTGTTTATCACTATAAAAGTAATTAATTTACAAAAGTACAGCCAAATCCCAACAAGTCATGAAAATAAGTGTATTGGAACAGGGAGCTAATACTCGTAACTACCCCTTTTCTCAAATATCTACAAATCTCATCGGGGAATTCTGCTAAGCCGATACCGTAATTCAAAACTGTCCTCTAAACGAACAATCAAACGTACTTTTCAAACTCAACCGTTGAGGAGCTATCAATATCACAAGTCTTTCTATTACTCTCCTCTGATCCTGAATGACAGAAAACTCATTAAAACACACATTTAACGAAAACAACAATTTATTAATAAAAACTGAAACTCGAAATAATTAACAAAACTCTACAAAATAACTAAGCAAACTCTCTCAAGAATATCTGGATTATGACACTCGTCTAATCGCGTCACGACTTCTTGGAGCTCTGCAAGTAAGTGTCGAACTATCTGGTTTGTCCCCAGTAGGCTTCCTCAATATCAATCTGTTTCCTAGTTTCCTTCGTAACATTAGGAAGAACACTTCTTCCTTATCCTCATGAAGCGGCACCTGCAGGAGACTAGGAAAGGGTCCCTGACCATGTGACAAACGCTGGCAATTAATCATGCGCATAATTATTTAAATTCTGATTCCACGAAAACCATAGCTCCTCACACGCTGATACCAAAGAAAGGTACAAGAGACTTGACAAGAAACGAGGCAGAAGAACGACTCTACTTTTAATATGCTTTTCCTACAC